TGATGTTTTAGTCACGCTTGGTTAATTATGGTGTAAACATTCTTAAATGCTGGAAAAGCCAACAATATATAGTTCCATTTGTACTAAACAGAACTGCATCCAACAACTTGGCCAAAAAATAAAAATCGGCAAATTACGGCCTTACTGCTTGAAAACAGGTGAAATTACTGGCTAGCTTAAATTCAAAGATTACATCAAACATTGTGTACAGCCACAACCCTGTAAATTAGCCAACCTTGCTTTGATATATGGAAATCAAAAGGCAACATAGCCACATACCCATCAACCCCCCTAACCTTAGTTTTTACCAACCACCCACCCAGTTCATGAATCTATGCATTATGAGGATAGAGGAGAGAGAATTTGTTACTTTCAAGGCATATTAATTATGTTTAAGAGGGAGTGGATTTCTTTTTCAATGTCATCCTAGTCTTTAAAATTGATTTCATCTAAGGGTTAAAAAAGTGTGTATAAAAGTGTGGTTTTTTTGTGTCCCCTGATCTTGATACATAGATAAATATATCATGTATATCGGACAGAAAGATAACCTGGTCGCTGTGGACAGTTACTTCACCTTCACCGAGGCGAAGCTCCAAAGCCTTGATTTCGCTGGAGTTAGGGAGTTCTGAGAATTCAGCTATAGCAGAGTCAAGGAAAGTCCTACGTCCATTCTAATTAACCTGGGTTGTGGCCTTGGTGACTTGATTTTCTTTAGCCTAAAACAATACCCCAGCCCACCCAAGCAAGCCCCACACACACTCATCCCACACAAAATCTCATTAACTAACCCCACAAGAAGTTTGACCAACAAAAAAAAAGGAAAGAAAAAAAAAACTAACATAGACGTGACAACCCCATCCCAGCCAAATAAAATCCCATTAACAAACCTATGTCATTCTTGAAGAGTTAATTAAAGCAAACTAAGGTAATCTTTAATTCTTCATCTTCTTTTCTTCTTTAAATGTGTGGATGTTGAAATTTTGGAGATTGTTTAAGGTTTTTGAAGTACCAATTAGGGATTTAAGATTAAGACTTATGAATTATCAAATAAGATTTGCAATTGATTTTGGTTTTCTTGCTTGCTTGTATGAATTATCAATTGGGGATTTTGTTGGTTTATATATTTACATCTTCTATATAATTATTCAATGGCCTATATTTTATAATGTCGGATCAACATCGAAATGTTAAGAGATCAAATATTCTTAGAGATAAAGATTTGCAATTGATTTTGGTATTCTTGCTTGCTTTAATGTTTAATTCTTGTGGTGTTTTTTTTTCTTACTAGTTTCTATCTGCATGTACTAGAGGCATTTTGAGGGATAAGACTCATTATGCCATCACAACTAAACCCATAAGAATAGTAATTGACTGTGTCTAATTTCTATTTTTCCATTACTAAAAATAAAAAAAAGGCAACTATAAATCCGTGCCTTATTTTCTGAAAAACCCTAAACAAGGGGACAACTTCCAACTATAAATTGGAAGCTAGACCTCACTTGCATTCTCAATAATAGGGTTGCAAGTTGGATTGGAAATTCTCGAATCCAACCACTTGCAATCCTAAACTCTTCCGAAATGGCAAAATCCGTTGGCTCCAGCACCACAGTTGTTCTGCTAATAGCTCTCCTTCTCGTTGCTTCCATGGGTGAGTAATCCTCAAACCCTTATCAACTCGAAAAGTTTATATTTACATCATTTCTTGCACTGCAAGCCAATTCATACGAACTTCCCAAAGTTTATAATAATGTCACTAATTTTATTAGACATGACATCCCAAATATACCTTCTTTGTTTTAGTTGTTAGTCTTACAAAGTTGTATAATTAAGAAGAATATAAGAAATTAAGAAACTTTTGTTTTTTTTTTTTTGGTGATAATATACAGAAGTGCCAGTGGTTGAAGGACAAAGAGGATGCAAGCAGGCGAGCAAGTCGATGACCACCTGCACAGCCCACCCAGAGTGTGACAAAAAATGCAAAGGAGAGAAAGCAAAGATGGGACTTTGCCGTGCTGATGGTCCCAAAGGCAAAAAGTGCTGGTGCTACATGTGTTAACATCAATGGGGATTTTGTATAACTTTCTCAACAATAAAATAGTCTAAACAACTTTTGAGAAATTAAAACATCTCTGTCTCTCTCTCTCTCTCTCTGTCTCTCTCTCTCTCTCTGTTTATACTTTAGACACAAGTGTGCCCATGCAAACCACAGATACCCTTGTGATGGCGGTATAATTAACAACTCTAGGAACACCACCCACTTTGATAGATTTCACAGCTATTTCAATCCCTGAAATGACCTGCATATGCGTTTGCAACATCAATATAAAGAGAGTCTCACAACTCTTGACAAAAAACAATTTTAAAAAAATGTGGGGAGAATACTTTTCTAACTAATGCTACATTCACAACTAGTTACAGAAATGAGAAGAAAATTTGGCCTTCCTGGTTTATGACATTTTCCAAAATTTGTGTGACCAACTAATTTTAATATCATCAGATGTGACATAACATGAAGGAATATAAGCTGAAGCTGTACGTAACCACTCCATCGATATAATGGAGAAATGGAATCTGTATTGCATAACAACATTGTTTTAAATCAGCTAGCTAAAGTTGTAGGTTAATGATACACAACACAATATTTTCAAAGGACTCATAGTAATATCTTTTTAATCGTAAGGACTAGGAGATCATATTGGCATGAGGACTTACCCAGTCCCAATAACGAATACAAAAGGAATCGGTTCACCATTTTCATCTATGTGATCATATGTCGAGTCAAAGCGCCATCCTTGTTTCTCTGCAAACCTTCCATAGTAATGAACAGCAACCTTCACAATCAAAATATACATATTTAGATGGCTACAGATGCATTTCAATCACCACAAGACGCCTTCATGAAGCTAGACATCAAATTGTCCCACAAATCTTAATTCTCAATCGAAAATAAGAAATATTTCAAGGCACGAAGTGTGCACATTGTACTCTTTTATGTCATTTAATTTGTTCTGTTTTCAATAATGTTGTAGTTTCAATGCTGCAAAAGCCAAAAATATAGAGTTCCTTTTGTTCTAAACGGAACGGTATCCAACAACTTGGCCAAAAAAAAAATTCAGCAAATTACAGCCTGATGCTTGAAAACAGATGAAATTACTGGCTAGCTTAAATTTCAAAGATTACATCAAACATTGTGTAGAGCCACAACCATGTAAATTAGCCAAGCTTGTTTTGATATATGGAAATCAAAAGGCAACTTAGTTTTTACCAACCACCCAGTTCATGAATCCATTGCATTATGAGGAGAGGGGAGAGAATATGTTACTTTCGAGGCATATTAATAAAGTTTAATAGGGAGTTGATTTCTTTTTCAATGTCATCATAGCCATTAAAACTGATTTCATCTAAGGGTTAAATTTTTTTGTATAGAGGATGAGGGAGAATCATTATATATATATATACCAGAAGGGATCTAGAACCAGAAGGGATTGGTATAGATACTGATGAAACAGACAGAATAGAATAAGCGAAGCTTATGCATGTATCTAATTAATGAAAATACAAATATAGAACATAAAAACAAGAACATAATTATATGAATTTAAAATATAAAATAGTCAAAATATATTGATAACTTGAAAATAGGCTTATGAGAATGTTTGGCTTACAAAGATTGAAAGCTAGCTCTCGAGTTCCTATTGTTGTTCTTCATATCATTGTTTATGAGAGAACATTTAAACTAAGAAACTAAAATTTCGCTCTTTTACATTCTGAATACAACTGAGGCTGAAGCTATCTTAAATAAGAGAAAAGCAAACTCAACTATGATTACATAACTAGGGTAAAGTAACTTGAGTAGCATTGGATCCTTTTAACACAAGAAGAGAGACTGCAGTTTTAACTCAGGGAATCTACTTCAACTTTCAATTTTGTCTTCATGCTGTTACTGGCCACCTTTTGCTTTTACTCAGGGGAATCTCATAATGAAGGATTTGCTTTAGTCTGGATTCAGGTCATAGGCTGGGTAGTCTTCATTGGGATCTTGACCATAAGGATAGTCATACCATCTTAAAAGGCAATCAAGACTTTTTTGACTAGAGGAGAGAGGGCGACAGCTGGAGGACGACTGAGACTCATTGCCTTCATCATCATTCATTTGAGAGGCTTAGAGCATCAGTTGTCGTGCAATATCTTGGAGCTCAGCTTTAGACTTCCCTTCAACGGAGAGGGAGGTCTGAGAAGATTGAGAAGAGGAGGACTTCTGCTTAGGCAACTGTGGTGTAGGTACTTGAGGAAAATCTCTGTAAACATACTTAGCAATTCGGGGAACCAATAGGGAAACTCACTGTGAAATTTACTATCAAAGTTTATGAACCAGGAATGGGAAAAATCAGATGTTTGGTGCAGAAAAATATAGTACCAGGACTCAATGTAATCAGGATAATTGTATTGAAATTTAGATGGAAGGGTGCGTAATTCATAAGGATGTGCTCCCCAACTTTCTTGGCTCAGGATTTGATGAATGTAAAGGGAATGATAAAGGATTTTTTGAGGATCCTGTTTATCACGGATATGCTTAATGTCAACTGATTGGGTCTCATGGAGGATTTCTCTGTAAAATTTTAGGGACTTATAAGGACTTTGTGGCAAGAAATGAAAACCACTGGGGAAATGCTCTTTGGCAATCATGGCAGGACTCATTATTTCATGAATATGAGGCTCAATGATAAAAAGATTAGAGCTACTCTTATGAACATAAGGGGAAGACTTAAGGGTAGGAAGAGATGGGAGTAGCAGTTGAGGAAAGCTGAAAGGGATCATAACTGGAAACTAAAGCAGACTGATAATTTGGGCGAAATTGGCCAACTGTGGTACCTCAAGGACTATAACGATTGACAACTGGGATTGGAGAAAAACTAGGATAAGGAACAATTGAAGAGGGTGACTCAGGCTTAGGGAGAGAAGATCAACTAGACTCGGTTTTGACCACCTTTTGAATCATTGATGCAAGGAGGATTCTGGGCAACTGAGAGGGTTGGCTTTGATTCTCTTTTTGTTTATCTTTTCTGCCGGCCATTGCTTATCCTTCAGGAATTCTCTAGTAAGAAAATCGGGACAGAATTCTCACTTCCTTTCAAATATTCAATTTCAAAATAAAAAATGCTTAAAATAGCTTGCCATTGTGCAAAAATTTGTTTTGATGCAATATTTTGAACATCTTTTTCTCATACATGCTTACCAAATTTACAATCAACTCTGACTAAATTTTTTTGATTTAATAGATCATCTTGGAATTTAGTAATACATAATACAATAGCTAGTATTTCTTTTTTGATAGTACTATAATTAGATTGCGACCGGGTCCAAATACCAGAATAGAAGTGAACAATTTGCTCAGAAGGAGTAGAAGTAATTTTTTGTTTAAGGATCCCACCATATCCTATCTCAGAAGCATCTGTTTCAACTATTTTAAAGGAATCTGTTGTAGGAATGCCAAGACAAGGAAGTGTCTTAACATGACTCTTGATTTGTTTGATGATCTCGGTATGAATGGATGACCAAGGAGGAGGATTACTTTGTAATCTGTCAAACAAAGGCTTACATAGTTTTCTCAGATTTTGATAGAAGTCAGAAACATAATTAAGAGAACCTAAAAATCTCTGCAACTGATTTTTGTCAATTATTTGATCAGAGAACTTATCTGCAAATTGGATGATCCACATCTCAGGGTATTGGACGGATCTGTGACTGATTAATATTAAAGCCGAGGAATCTAACATTGGTTTGGAATAACCTAATCTTAGGGGCAGAGACAACTAATCCATTTGACCTGACTATTTGGAAAAATTTACGCAGGTGCTTCCAATGTTGTTCTATAGATTGGGAGAAAATTAGAACATCATCAATATAAACAATAAAGAAATGACTATAAGGATTAAAGATCTCATTCATTATATTTTGAAACTCACTAGGCGCATTTTTAAGACCAAAAGGCATAACATTCCATTCATAATGACCAAAGGGAGTGACAAAAGCAGTCTTATATCTATTAGACTCAGTGATTTGGATTTGCCAGAATCCACTCTTCATATCAAATTTGGAAAAAATAACAGCTTTGCTTAAGCGATTAATCAAATCTCTCTTATTAGGAATAGGGTATCTAATCCATTCTAGCACAATATTAAGTGGTTTATAATTAATGACTAATCTTGGAGATCCTCGTTCTAATTCAGCATTCTTTTGGACATAAAAAGCAGGACACGACCATGGTGACTTGCTTTTTCTAATTATATTTTTTTGTAATAACTCATTAATCTCAGTTTTGCAAAATTCCATCATTTCTTGACTCATCTAGATTGGTCTTGCTTTAGTAGGTATATTTTTCTCAGAAAGATTCTTAACATATGGCAGACTCATAACATGATTTTTTTTCTATGCCAAAAAGCAATGGGTAGATCTGAACATATTTCGGATACTAATTTTTTCTCAAATTCTAAGACCTGTTGTTGGAAAGACGGGCTACTTAGTTGAGACTCAATTCTCTTAGTTTTTACTTCTTCTTGAAGGTGGTAGACTTGGCTACTCTTGTCTTTTATTAAAGTAATTGTCTTGGCAATATCATTTTTTTGTAAACATTTTAACTTATGTAACTCGGGTTTGGTTAAAAATTCAAATTTAACTTTCTCACCTAAATGATTGATACCACTCCATCAAATTCAACTTGAAAATGGTAAAGAAGGCTTATGAAAGGTAAGCCTAAAATGACATTATCAGTTATATTTTTAATTGAAACAAAAGAAGTTTTAAAACAAATTTTATTCTGACAGACATAGGCTTTGGGATCTCATAGCCTAATTGAAGTAACTTTCCTGAAGCGGTGCTTAAGGATTCTCTAGATTTCTTATAATACTTAGTGGGAATTAAACCTTCTTTTTATACAATTAAGATCAGCTCCTGAATCAAATAAGGCGATCGTGTTGAATTCAAAATTTTTAACAACTATAGTAATTTTAGAATACCATTTCCTTTGACTATCAGTCTCAGTTGTATTCAGAATGTAAAAGAGCGAAATTTTAGTTTCTCAGTTTAAATGTTCTCTCAGAAACATGATCTGAAGAACAACAATAGGAACTCGAGAGCTAGCTTTCAATCTTTGTAAGCCAAACATTCTCATAAGCCTATTTTCAAGTTATCAATATATTTTGATTATTAATTCATATCTTTATGTTCTATATTTGTATTTTCATTAATTAGATACATGCATAAGCTTCGCTTATTCTATTATGTCTGTTTCATCACTATCTATACCAATCCCTTCTGGTTCTAGATCCCTTCTGGTATCAGAGCCGTAAGAGTTGTAAGAATTCGTTTAAGTCGCAACTCATCCAACCCAAGTGGCTGGTTTAGGTTTTCTGAGTTGAAGTTTTGTAGTTTTCTTCTTCTACTTCTTTTATTCTTCAAGATATATTTATTTGTTTTCTCTCTTAAGGTCTGACTCGTGAGTCCTCTTTCCAAACGATAAGTCCCCAGGGTAGGGCACGAGCGGTGGGCAGAAGACAGAGAGTTAGAGAGAAGATCAATAGGTTTCTTGTTGAGTAAATAGTCAGTCTTAGAAGTCACTATTCATCTTCTTCAGAAATTCAACCCCAAACACTTGAGTAAATATGAGTCGCCTCTTTAGGACAAATTCTTGTAGTTCGAGCAGAGAACCACAATAGGTCCCCTCCCTGAGATAGTAAATGAAGAACAGTTTGAATATAATTCTAGTAATGATGAGTAATTAGATTTTAGAGATTGGAATATACCTAGAGTCCCAAGCCAAAACATTTATAAGAAAAGTGGTCACTTTCTAGTTTTAATTCCACTACTCATGTAAAAACAGTTGAACAAGTTTATGCTTTAAGTAAAGAACATGAATCGTGTCAGTTGCTTAATCTTGAGTCTATTAAGTAACATAAGCATGATGGTAATAATTTCCTGCATATAGGCCTTGTTCAAATTGCTGTTAAACCACTTACTAGATTAGGATTACAAGCCTCTATTTTATTATGTTTACGCGATGCTAGATTTACTGAGTTTAATGATAGTGTTCTAGGAATGATTGAGTCCAGTCTGTGTAATGGTCCAGTTCAGTTCGATTGTTACCCTGATTTTACTATAAGTCTGAATGATCCTCATATTCTTAAAACTTTAACTTTGAATATTAAGACTTCTGGTTATAATGTCCTCCCAGGTACCCAACCTTTAGCCTTAGTTTACATAATTTACTATAAAGTTACTGGTACGAATATGAATTTTCAAGCTTTAAATAAGAGTCCGAAAGATCAAACACTTTTAATACAAAGTTGTACGCCTGATGCTAATATTAGAATTCCACACACAGTTAAATTGTCTGAGATTAGTCTACCTACTGATTGGACTTTAGTCACTGAGACCCAACCTGCCCCTATACAACGAAGTTTAAATAATTTAGATTATATTCAACAATATGTAGATGGTACAATTAAAATTAATTTTGGTAATCACACTAAGTCCTAAGTCCAATTACAACAATTGCCTACACCTGGCCAATCCAAGAGACATACGCCTGCTAGACACTCCTTCGCAGCTTCTTCCTCTACCCAAGAAAGTGACTTAGAAATAGAAATAGCTTTAATTGACTTAAAATTAGAATCTCTAAGAAAAACAGCCCAAGTTAGTCACCCGTGCTATGGAATTCCTCCTGTTCCTCCAGTGGCAAAAGATCCCA